CAAAGTGCCAAGAAAAAGGCCATTCCCCCAGAACTACAAAACTCTATATAGAATCAGCATACTGGGAATTAGATCTGTGCAATCACAAAGGGACTTGTACTTGGGTTTATACTGTGCTGCTCTTGTCGTGGAATTCTTAATTGTTTTTGAACAAAGTGAATGGACATGTGCATTTTTTCCATTCAGAAATATGTAGCCCATTCTGGGATCATGTGTGAATGTCTGTGTGTACGTGTACATGTGTGCCTGTGCACATGCATGTGTGTGTTTATTTCTCTTGAAAATGTTTATTACTAGCCACATGGAAAAAGGAAGAGAATGACAACAGTTATACAAAAACAGGCTACTGATCACATAGCTACAGTTCAAATTGTTTGACAGGAAAAAAAATCATGGAAGATTTAAATCTTTTACTATTTCTCTAGTGATTCTATTCTCATTCTTATTTTTTTTATCCTAAGAAGGAAGAAAACACAGTTCTGAAGGTTTCTATACAGAATACGTAGATTGCATGCTAATCTCAAGATTATTACATATGAACCTTTTATGGTTTCTACAAAGTGAAGCATACTCAAAGAAACCACCGTATAAATAAATATGGAAGTAATAGATGTATATAAATGTTACAATATATGTATATTACAACACTCAGTACTTTATATAACATGGTAATAAACAACAGTAACTCTTGTATTCTGGCCCTAGTGGTATTTAGAAACGGTATGGTAGGAAGAAAGGCAGAAATATTAGACTGTAGATATTTTAGGAAAAAGAACATGACAATTAAAGCCACATTAAGTTGCAAAACATCTGTTAAGATTCACTTGTTGAGTAATTTTGTTTTTCCAATGCCTCCTATCTCCTAAATGATGCTAGAAATACAAAATAAGTAAAAGTTAAAAATCTTGAAAGCTGGATGTGGTGTCACATATCTGTAATCCTAGAACTCCAAGAGGTTGAGGCAGAAGGATCAGAAGTTCAAGCCCTTTCTGAGAAACTTAGTGAATTAGTAAGACCCTGTCTCAAAATTTTAAAAGTGGTTAAGGATGTAGCTCAGTGAAAAGTCCCTAGGCTTAATTTCAGTACTACAAAAAAGTCTTAAAAATATAAGATGAGAAACACTACTAGAACCTTGAAATCTGTTTTAGGGAATTTTTATACTGTAGCATTTGATACTTGGACTAAGTCAATTGCAGTAAGTATAAAATGGCCCTGATCCATACACTAATTTGTACACTTAATTGCATCATATATCAAACCACTGCAGAAAATCACAATGTCAAATTTCCAGAGAAGTTACTCAGCAAATCCTTATAAAATGAATTTGTTCATTCTCATATGAGATATTATGATGCTACTTTAAATATTATCTATCATTAAGACTGTGTTATAGAGAAAGAAAGTTATAGCAAGAAAATACATTGCTATTATTATAGCTTGTATCTAGATGTCCCCCGAAAGCCTCACATGGGCCTAGGTGGGGCTTTTTCAGAGGTGGCTGGATCTAGAATGTGTAACAATTGATTCAGATGCAATGCTAGGCTCCAAAGCACTAGGATTAAAGGTGTGAGTGCTACCCTCTGTAAGTAGTCAGGAAAAGAAAAAAAAAAGGGGGCAGAAAGCTGCTGTTAAGGTCCTTTGCTTGCTTGGTTTTGCTGTCTTCTGCTGGCCATGAATTTGTTTTCTGTGATGTCCCTCCGCCAAATCACCTTGCCTTGGAGCCAGCTGACTATGGGCTACAACCTCTACAAATGGAGAGCTAGATAAACCTTTCCTCCCTTAACTTTGGGCATCAGGTATTCTATCTCAGCCATGAGAAAAGTAACTAAGACAGTTATTATTATTTAAAAATGATTATTAGATGGATTTGCATTCTTAATCATTATATTGCAAACTCTATTTTCATTCATAGATCATAATTTAGTTTTTTACATGTTTGATTTTGTATAATTTAAAATCAATATCTGCTTCATAAATTATATATATATAACACATTTAAACTACATAGTTTAATGAAATATAAAGCAGACCTGAAAGTATTCTTGCAATTTAGGATGGATTTAAATAAACAGTAATCTTTTTTGCTAAAGATTTTTTTAAGGTGGTGCCTATTCATAGATTACAACGCTCTGTATTTCAAAAATTGCCAATAAATTTTTAATTTTAAAAATAAAGAATATTAGAACTGAGGCTCTGTAACACAGCTCTCTGGAGAAAGTTGATTTTAATAGCAAAAGGACAATTTTCATAGCTAAATGACCACTTTTTATAAAGATGTTTTTATCCCTATTTTTCTATAATATGTGTGTCAGAGGACTTGAAATTCTATGTATCTTTATCTCTAAAAAATGCAAACCAAATTAAAAGCAGAAAAAATTTCAGTCTAAAACTAAGTTAGTCAATAATATGCCACAAGTGAAGCTAAACAGTCAACAAAATTATAGTGAATATCATAACTGACTCCCTGGATTCTGTTATGAGCTACTCAACACTGTGACAAAAGATGAATGATTCAATAATGATTAACAGTTTAGGATAGTTATGACTTAAGATACTTCTTAAACATAGAAGTATGACATGAGGTATATTTAATGATATTGTGTCAGTGTTTTTTAGGTAGTTTATATTAATTTCAAATTTAAATTAATATAATTAAAAGATTATATTTCTGGAAAGTTTATAAACATATACATATATATATATATATTTTTATACATATGGACTATACCTATGTTTATAAACAAAACTTCCTGTGTTTATCTGATTATAAAGAGTCTAACAAAAAGATAAAAGCAGAGCATATAGAAAAGAATGGTATCAAAACATGTAAAAACAGTGTGTTAGTCACTGTAGTGATTTTAAAATTATACATTATTAACAAATAGTGAGATAAAATTCTTTAATCTCTAAACAGCATTTTTTGCTTGTCTGTGAATTTGTCAGATACTTTTAGTGTAATACAGGTAGTATTAACTATTTTATTTTTAAAAAGGAAATGTACAAAGTGTTCTAAGTACAAACATGAAACATTAAGAGACAAAAAAACCCTTACATTACAAAGCATAGTCAGGCATCATTCAACTACTTAAAATATTTTTTTCTAAATAAGTGAAAAACTGGTTAGTTATTCTTCAGAGTATATTGGGTCAAATGAATGAAAATAGATATAAAAATAAAAATTCATTTGTCATAGGAAAGAGCTTCAAATTCTAAGATTGTTTTGGTACTGGTGATCAAACTCATGACCTTGTGAGGCAGGTGCTTATGCTGCTGAGCTAAATCCCTGGCCCATTCATGAGATTTTCCAAAAAGAAATTTCTAATCTTTGATCATATACATGTATACAATGGAAAAGGGGTAAAACACAAAACTAGACAAATCAAGGAAAAAAACTAATGGATATACATTTTAAGGTAGGAATAGTGATGTGAAAACTACAATTTAAATGTTAAACAATTTAGACTTAATATTAACAACATGGACAATAATAAATAAATATTATTTGGATAAATGGTGGATACTTGTGAAATAGTTATTGACATAAATAAATAACATTTCAGTTAAAATAGTTTAGAGATCACAGACTTTTTATTATTTGATTTGGATATCAGTAAAATCCTGTATAAACCCAATAACTCTGTATTTGGAGAATGAGGATGTATGATTTTTGTAAAATATTATACATTAAATTTAATACTAAATAATGAGAACTCTTGGGGGATATGAGCCTCTTTTATAAATATAGTATGCTTAGTATCTCAGATCTTTTTTGTACTAGAAATCTTTTTCCTTAAGATAACACATGGAGTGAATGATTATCGTTAACTAAAAAAGTAAAGTTTAAAAACAATTTAAATTGGTATTGCAAGTATGATTCTGTACATACATTCCCTAAGTTTGGTAGAATTTCTTGTTCATAAGAGTAAAGATGAGTGAAGGAGAAACAAACTTTTAATCTAAAAACGGATACAATAGAATAACATTTCAATTTCAATATAATACTAAAATTCTACTTACATATAATAAAGTTTAAGGGTTTCAAATAGCTTCAGAAAACAACTTTAAAGACAAAGGTCATATGAACTTTCAACAAGGTCTTGAAAAACTCCTATAATCCCTGTATGCCTCTCATGTTGATGGTGGGGAAAAATACAACAAAATAATTTGCAAAATTAAACAATGACTCTACCACCATGATGTGCTGTCATTAAGCTACATATATATTTGAAAATTGTTGAGTATCTGCTGCATGAATCAAATGCCAACTACTATTATTAGGTATTTCATAGTCTGAATCAAATTTTATTATTTTATTTGGTTCTGCCTTTAACATCACTCACGTTAAGCATGTTAACCTTGCATTTCTGATAACAGAAGCAACAGTCCCTCAGAGTCAGTTATGAGTTAAATTGTCAAAGCTTATGTACAAACACCATCGCCTTTAAATTCTTACCTTTGCCAAATCAAAATCTAAAGACTCTAAAGTTTATTGGCAGTGTTAGTCTTATTACTAAAGCTTTCAATAACTTAAATTCTCCTATTCATAGAATTCAAGACATGTGACCTGAGATAATTTTTTTTCACTTTACCTGAAAGACAGCCGGGGATTCTGGAAAGGTTAAACAGCCTGTACCTGTTTTAAAAAGTCAATGGCAAAGTTAAGATTACAAATCTAAAGTCCTGATGCCTAGTCAAGGGCTACTTTAACAATGATATACTACCTCTACCTGAAGAACTCTTCACAATTATGTGAATCAAACAATTTTAGTGGCAATAAGCATTGTTACAGTTTGTGCCTGGATGTTCTCTCCCAAAGTCTCATGTGGTGATGAGGGATGGGCTTCTCAGAAGTGGCTGAATGAAAAGTTTGTGATTGGCTTATTGTCTTGTGCTGGGTGCTGCACCCACCTAGGGGCAGGTAGCCTGCACACGATATAAGGGAGAGAAAGGTTTGTTCTTCCCTTTTTCTCCTCTCTTGTTGCTTCTGCTGTCTTCCACAGCCATGAACCCCTGCCCTCGGCCATGTGCCACCCTGCCTTGGAGCCAGCAGATTAGAGACTAAAACCTTCGCACAAACTGTGAGGTAAATTAACCTTGCCTTTCTTAATTTTGGGCATCAGGTATTTTGTCTCAGGAACAAGAGGAAAGTAACTAAGACAAGCGTCTTATATTTAAATTCCTTTTTTTTTTAATTGGTACAAGGGATCGAACTCACAACTGCCTGCTCACAAGGCAGGCGCTTATGCCGCAGAGCTAAATCCTCAGCCCCTATATTTAAATTCTTAAAAGGTTGTTTTCTGAAATATTTTCTGTTGGCTCCTAGTTTCTTTTTGGCATTATTTAAAATTTTTTATTTTTGTTTTGGTCATCTGAGTCAAAAGTCATATATATTAATGATGATATATTCTTTGCTTACATAGCTATGTGGCAAATTACTACAGTCTTAGATGCTTAAGGTAACACACATTTATTCTCTGTTTCCATGAGTCAGGACTCAATATTGCTATTAACTATAGTATAGATGTAGAAACAGAGAAATACGTGTTAAAATTTTTCTTTCAATCACACAACTTTTAGGTGACAAAATCAAGTTAAATCAGGCAGTTTTGTTTCATTTCCTTCTTGCTTAACCACTGTGGTTGGCCACTGTCTGATACATAAATATCATATACTTTAATGCTTAGAGTGCAAATTTTGAGATATAGTATTATCTTAGGTCTACTATGGACCTAAAATTTTTATTTCAAAGTAATTATCATCTAAGAATGATGAGCTAAGTACCAAAATAGTGAGAGAACATCATTCTTAAATGTGAAATTTCTATGAAGAGCAAGGAATGGCATGACATTTTAAATTTACATTCAAACATTTTTTCTAAAAAATGTGATCTGAATTAAAATTTGGAAGAAAAGCCCCGGCCACCACTACTCTCATTTCTAATAGAAAAACAGAGTAAGTCAGGAATCTGAATATATATAAGAAAATATCTATTCCATTTGCCTGCTGTTTGATGAGCAAGAAATTGAGATAATCTGCCTTGTGGTACATCCGCAAGCACATGAGAGCACACCCATTAGAGGGTATGCTGATTTCCAGGCCTAAAAATAGTAACAGTATTGACATGGCTTCACTAAGATGTATGTTATTAAAGATATAATTTCATTGTGCTTTGAATTTTACATTCAAATAGATGAGTGAAGCAGTTCATTATAACTGGATGATCTGGAAAACTCAGATACTATCTAAATATTTTATTAGGCAAATAAGGACAAGAAAACAGGGAACCAGGAGCAATATCTTCACTTATAGTCAAGAAATTGGATGGTATGGTTTTATGGAGGTAAGGACTCTTGTATATCAGTTATGTGAATATGGAGCTGTGAATTAATCACACTTTAGTGCCTGTTCTACGATAATGTACTGGACTAAGCCTTTTTTTTTTTTTTTTTTTTTACAGTGAACACAATGCTATGCTTCTGTCAACAGAAGACACTGGAGGCACACTGTAGGGGGAAAGAAGCTTTTCTTCCAGGTTTCCATCAGCTGCATTTTAATTTCTTGTTTCTACTTATAGTCTATCAGTGGCCCACATATATGAAGAACTTCAGATAGTGCTCTGTCCAGACCATGAAATTCCAGCAATATCCAGACCATGAAATCCTTCAGTGATTTTGGAGCGTAAGTATGGGCACAGTGACAATCATTCTTAGGTTTTATTAATATGTTCCCTAAGTCTGATGCACACAGCATCACACCAACTCTTCCCATGAACACTCCCAGAAGCACCACTTGCCTACATTTAGAAGGTTGTCTGCCAGTTGCCTAGTAACTGGACCAGATCTGGATTAGGCAAAACAATGAAGCTGCACCTCTATTTTCTGAACCTTGGGGAGAGTGTTTTATCTGCAAGGTGTCCTTTCTTCAGTATTATTCTTCAGGCCTAGAACATCCTTGCTGGTACTCTATTATCATAGATTAATAATTATTTATGTCTAAATTTCCTTAAACTGTGATATAGTTTCTGTTTTCAAACTAATTACCTTAAAGAAATTTATACATTTACAGTGACTTGTACTTTTAAAAAATTCCATCATGTCCAGGGAACGTAGTCTAGGAGGAGGGAAGTTTACAGCTGTGAATGCTTACATCAGAAAAATAGCACAAGGCCAGATAACTTAATGATGCACCTCAGTGTCCTAGCACATCAAGAAAAATCCAAATCCAAAGCTAGTACAAGGAAGGAAATTATGAAGATCAGAGAAAAAAATTAATAAAATTGAGACTATAGACAGCACTGGGTGTGGTGGCACACTCCTGTAATCCCAGTACTTAGGAGGCTGAGGCAGGAGGATTGTTGCAAGTTTGACACCACCCTGGGCTGCAAAATGAGCCCAGAACTTCATAGTGAGACCTTGTCTCAAATAAACTAAAACAAAACAAGAGAAACAAACAAACACACACCAGTACTGAACTGGTGAATCAAAGAGCTGGTTCTTTGAAATAAGCAAAATAAATCCTTAGGGAAACTTACCAAAAGGAGGAAAGAAAAGATTCATCTCAATGCAATTAAAAATGAAAAAGGTAAACCACAACAGATTGCTGAATTGCAGAAGATTACTAATAACTACTTTGAAAACCCATACAACAAGCTCGAAAATCTAGAAGAATTGTAAAGAGTCCTAGACATATTACTGAAATTTAAACAAGAAGACATTGAAACCCAGAACAGATCAATTAACATAAAATGAAACCTAGGCTGTAATAAATTAAACTTAGCAAATAAGAAAAGCACAAGACTCAATGGATTTACCAATAAAATCTACAAGATCTTCAGGGAACTTAAAATCAGTACTTCTCAGACTCTCTAATGAAACTAAAGGAGTACTGTCAAATTCATTCCTGGAAGCTAGCATTACCTTGATTCTAAAACAAAACAAGGATACAACTAAAAAGAAAACCACAGGTCAGTCTCTTAGATAGACATAGAAGTAAAAATCCTCAACAAAAAACTGCCAAAGAGAATGCAACAAATCATTGAAAAGGTCACACACCATGACAAAGCAGGTTTCAATCTCAGGAATGCCTGGATAAATCAACATATATAAATCAATAAATGCAATATATCACATAAAGAGAAGCAAGGACCAAAAGCATATAACCATTTCAAGAATGTAGAAAAGGTCTTTGACAAAGATAAAAATATGAAAGAAACTAGGTATCAAAGGTTGTTATCTTAATTTGATAAAAGTCATTTATGTCAACATTATGTTCAATTAATAAAAATTGAAATGTTTCACAGTTAAGTCAGGAACAAGACAAGGATGTTCACATATACCATTCTTTTTCAAAATAGTCCTTAAAACATTAGTCTGAGCAATCAGGCAAGAGAAAGAAATGAATGGGTTATTATAAGAAAGGAAAAAGCCAAAGTATCATTATTTGAAAATGACCTGATCCTTTCCTTATAAGACCCAAAGCACTACCAAAAATCTCCTAGAATAATCAAATTCAGTAATATAACAATACAGAATAAAGACAAAAATTCAATAGTATTCATATGGTGTACACTAATAATAAACTCACTGAAAAATAAATTAGGACAATAATGCCATCCAAAGTAGTATCAAGACAAATTAAATACTTAGAAACTAACTTAACTAAGGAAGTGAAACATCTCAAAAACGCAAACTACAGTACTCTGCAAAAGGAGTTGGAAGATGACATCAGAAAATGAAAAGATACCTCCTGTTTCTATCTAGGAAAAGGAATAGGTAAGGGCTTTCTGAATAGAATTCCAGTTATACAATAATATCAAAAAGAAATTGGAACTGTATAAAATTAAAAAAATTATTGCATAGCAAAAGAAACACCTAACATGATGAGATTACAAAATGAAAAGAATTTTTCCAGCTATTCCTTTGAGAGAAAATAAATTACCTGGAGTAAATAAAAAAACTAAAGCAAATTAGACACCTCCAAAACAAGACCCTACAAAAAATGGATAACTGAAATACACACTTTTAAGAAGTACAAATGACCAACAAGTACATGAAAAATCTCTCACCATTAGATAAATGTAAGTTAAACCATCACTAAGAGAGGAGAAATGAAATGGATAAATATAAGAAAGGAATATGTTATGTACATGTATCAACCCCAACAAGGAATGTAATCATGACGCACTACAGACATTCATGAACAAAAACTTAAAAAAAAGACCACTGTGATAAAAAAAATGGTTATCATCAAGAACTCAAAAGAAAAAAAGAACTTAAAAACAACAAATGTTGGTGAGGTGACAGGGAACAACAAATGCTTCTACACTGTTGTTGGGAAAGTAAACAAGTATTATCACTATGCAAATCAGTATGGAGAATCCTCTAATAACTAAAACTAGAAATTATAATTTACTTCGCTATTTCCCTTGTAGATATCTTTTCCAAAGGATTAAAGATACAATATGACAGTGAAACATACATATTCATATTTATAGAAGTAGAACTCACAATATCTATCTAGGTCTTGAGATATAGACAATATCTATCTATGTCTTGTTGATAGTCCATGACTATCAACAGATGAATTAAGAAAATGTGGTATTATTACGTAATGTGGAATACTACTCTGCAATAGCCGGGCGTGGTGGCTCATGCCTGTAATCCCAGCACTCCAGAGGCTGAGGTGGGAGGATCCTTGCGAGTTTGAGACCAGCCTGGGCTACAAAGTGAGCTCAAGGCCAGCCTGAACTGTATAGCTAGACCCATCTCAAAAGAGACAAAAAAAATACTACTCTGCAATAAACATGGACAAATCTGAGTCAACTGTAAGAAAGTGTATGAAACTTGAGATTGTAGTAAGTAAAATAAATTAGACATATGTGCTTTAATATCAGTTTCTCTTATATGAGAAACTCAAAGTATAAATAATTTAATGAAGGCAATAACAGAATGGGTAATAGAAAACAAGGAGATTGATCTTTTGCAAATCATAAGCAGATCTAGAGATGGAGGGGATAGAGAGAAAAAAAGAGGGAGAAGGGAAATGAGGAGGAAAGGAAGCAGAAGTAAATATACATATACATACATGTACCAAATCCCCATGCTCATCAATATATACTGCTAACATTGAAAAAAGAATACAAATTCATCAAAGGGATGTAGATACATATCCACTTTTAAGGAAAAATAACTAGCTCAACACAATGGATACAACAGGTAATGATCTTGCAGCTACTTCATCTTGATGCTATAAGAATTAACCAGAGCTACACAGGCTGCTTTCTTCTAAAGAACCATTAGGATAAATAAGACTTCCACAGATTTTTAAGGAATACAGGATGGAACCAGAGAGAACCCTGTCATATGTGGACATGTTCTCATTTATTCTTATCCTTCCTTCCCTCTTCTGATGCCTCCAATAAATTAATATAAAATCAATGGTATATTTGATCAAACAGTAACAGTTATATCAAAGAAATACAGTCTTCCAGTTAGTTTGTGATTTTATACAGCCATATTTCTTGGGCATGATACTATGAGTGCCACAAAGATTTAGGGACTGTATAAAAATCACAGACTCTCATCCCAAACTTAATCAAAGAGACTATTTTAGCTTGCTTACACCTAGTTATCCATCAGAATTGTGTCACAATACCAAATACTTTAATTCTCAGACTAGTCGCCCTTTTTACTACATTACTCAATACCACTTTACTCTCCAATTAAAGCAATCTTTGAAGACAAGGACAATACTGTCAGAGTTAGTCTGAGTAGGAAAATGTTTTGCCATGTACAATGTACCCAGCAAATGTATTGTTACCAAGTACATTCATATAAACATACTGCCTTACATACTGTCTTTCTAAATCATAATAAGAAATACTAAAATCATATTATCTTCATCATTCGTGTAGATCATATACCCTTTAGTATACACAAGTTCACTTTCTGTCCCAGGAAAGGGAACATTTTCTATCTCTAATATTGTACTTGATTTCTCCTTTCTTTTGTCCTTTATAGACACTAGTTGTGGGGAAGTTACTTGCAATGCAATTAGCCACTCAAGTGTGAAAACATGAAGAAAATTTAATACAACACTCAGGAAACCAATGACTATCTCAGTAAATCTGTTAGCATTTTTTTAGGTTGACCAGAAAGGTAGTGAAGAGGGCAGAGAGGACAGTTCCATTAGCTGAAAAATAAAGAAGAATATTAATACTGTTCATCTACAAAATGCAATATTAGAATTCACATTTGTTATGGTTTATATCTAAATGCCAAAGCCTGATGCACTCATAGATGTGGCTGTGAAGAGGTTTTTGGGATCATGGTGGTATGATACTCTTTAGCATATTATTAGTCTACTGATAAGTTTATAGCCAAAGGTAACGTTGGGAGGTGAATCCTGGTCAAAGGAAGTAGGTCACTGGCAGAGTGGCCTTAGAGGGTAAGTCTCTCTCCTTGTTTTGATCTCCCTCTGCTTCCTGATTGCCATCCTATAAGCAAGCCTCCTATTCTATGCCTCTCTGCCATATTTCCCTGCCTTTGATCCAGCCTAGTAAACACTGAGACCTCTACAAACTGTGAGCCAAAATAACGCTTTTCTCCTTTAAGTTGCAGATGTTGGGTATTGTGTTCCAGCAATAAAAATGTAACTAAGACAATGTTTTAATGATGATGACTATAATGTGTATGTTAAAATGCTATGGCTATAAGAAAAATGGTGATCATGGCAAAAATAATAAAATTCAATTTGAATTTTTACCAAGATCACACATTTAATGGAAGAGCCCATGGCACGAATAGCAAAAGCTGCCTTTTCACAGCATCTGGGACTTCTGAAGAAAAATTTAAAATTATCTTTTATGAATTTTTAAATCAGAATGCTAATGCTTTTAAGAAAAATTTAAAGAATAAATATTAATAGAATCATCTTTACTTCATTATGGGGCATGCTGGTACCCTAATACTTAAATACAACCTCACAGTTTTGGGCAGTTGGATGCAGAAAGCTTTGTTTCTATAAATGAAACAGTATAAATGTCAGAGTAAAGACTAAAATGGGTTCTTTAATTTCTCCTCCAGGATCTTCTCATATCTAACTGTTGGCTCTGTGCAGTGTATTTCTAGTCTGAATAGGAGAGCAGGCATAATAATATAAGTCCAGATGGAGTTTAGGAATACAGAAAGCATAAATTTAAAGAAAGAAAAATTACAGAATGTTTTTGAGATAAAACACATACTTAACATTCCAAAATAAACCTAAGTTATCAAGACTAAACAAATGAAGAAAATAGGTTGGAGAGGAGAGAGAAAAGAGTACATTCTCAAAACTTGGAGCACTATACAACTAAAAGATTACCTTAACACCAAAATTACTAAGTAATTAGTATATTTATTTTTTCCATTATCTTTACCAAAATGATAAGGTAAAATAACAAAAGACAAGTATCACATAGAAGACAACAATGTTGGTTAATGTCAAAGGTGTAATTTGGCTCAGAACAGTCTGATTTAAACAGTGTGACTTCAATGATTATATCTGGCCTGGGATTTCCACGAATTTATCAAAGCTGACAAGTGCTCCAGGCTCACAAATGAGAGGAGCAAGGCTGTAACAAGCAGATTAAGTTAGCTGAAGCCCAAGGTCTGAAACGGCTTCTCTGCGGAGTGCTTATCTCTCCAGATGCAAAAGCTGCAGTAAAAGCAGAGAGTTAGTACAGTTCTGAAAAGAACGCCAGAGTCTCTGCAATTGATTTACTATGTAAAACAAAGGTCTGGGTAGAACAAAATAGATGGTCTTCAATAAGCCAAGGAATATGTAATTTGGAATGTGGCATCACTGAAGGAAATACCAAATCAACAGAGATACAATGTAATATTTACCTTTAGTCAATAATCACTGAGATACACACTATAGTGATTGTCTCTATTGCATTTTGTCCTTCATGGCTTCACTCTGTTGTCTATTCCATTGCATTTAATGACAATTTCCAAAGAAACTCAAGCTTTTCAGTCTCTCTCTATTCATTCTCACATTTCATATTAATAGACATCCTGCCCAACACTGCAACCAACTTCTCTTCTCACAAGAAATTTTGGTATTCACGTACTTTATTAGCCAATCTTAACCACAAATAACTCTGTATCTTTAAAGATGAGAAAAGTGAACACAAAAGTCTACCATAAGCATTAAGTCACTTTTTACTATTTTACTGTGTGAAATACAAATTTCTACTTAAAATCATGGTTATAAATATAACAGAATGTACATTTTCTAATTTTTCATTAAAAGGGATTGTAAAATAAGTGAAAGAAAAGTGGAAAGACATTATAAACTATTAAAAACCAGCTCTTATCTTGCCAAGCAAATACAATAAATGTTAATATTGCATAATATTCTTCTCTTTTTAAATTTTCAAAAGTTATGATTGATTCTGTATTTGTAATGCTTCACTCAACATTATTATTGGAATCTTTTCACATTGGTATAAGAATATTTCAGTTATATTAAAATATGTACTCAATATTCTCAGATAGTAACTGGGAATAGTGAACATTATATACTATGAATGTAAAACAGTTTACCAATTGGTTCTTTACCTTATTATTTTCTATTTTGTTACTATGTATAATGCTTTTATCAAAACTTTCTCTACAGAAATATTGCTGTGTTCTGCAGTTTATTTTTAGATTGGATTCCCAAAAGACTACAGCAATATGTAGTCTAGAGTTAGAGACTGCCCGAGTTCAAATATGATTTTAAATCCTTTCTCATTAACACACTTCACAGAAGTTTACCTACCACTCTGCTTCAGTTTACTCATCTGTAAAATGAAGATAACAGTAACAATATTAATTCATGAGGTTTGGTTTTTTTTCCACGTGTGCACGCGTGCATGTGTATGTGTGGTGCTGAGGATCAAATTTAGGACTTGTGCATCCTATGCAAGAGTTATTCCCCAGCCCCCCTTTTTAAAATTTTAAGACAAGGTTTTTCTAAGTTGCCCAAGATGGCTTAAAACTTGCCATTCTGCTGCCTCAGCCTCTCAAGTAGCTGTCATTAAAGGTAAGCAAAATCACATCCAGCCATTTTACAGTTTTCATGATAGTCAAATGTGTCTGTACGCAGAACTTAAAATAGTACCTGAGTCATACGGTAAATATTATGTCTGTGTTAGAATTAATGCCTTAGAGCCTTGAAATCAACTAAAACTTGATTTCCAAACAGTTTTGTGAATATACATGCCTAGCAATAAATTAGTTCATTTTATTTTCATTAAAGATTCTCAATAACATTTGGACATGTAATATGTATGCATATGGACATGTCTTTTTGTTTATGAAATCATGAATAAAACTTTGTATTTCATTATTGTTTTACAGAAAGTCCTTATTATCTGAGGATAACTGCTACTGGGTGGTACTGGTAGCCTTCATGATTTAATACAGAAATTCAGAGCCTGTCCCTTTTTAAATATGTAAAAATCTATGATAGAATTATTATTTTATTACCAACAATCTCCACTGTTAAAATAGTAGCTACCATTCATGTACAGTTTTTTGTTTCTTACTATCTCCTTTGTTTTGATGTTCACCTCTAATACTTCATTATTCAACACTTTATAATATTCTATAATTTAAGATTTTTTAAGATTTTTTGGTAGTCATATGAAACATTCTTTTCAAAAAGGTACTTTAGGGACCCTGATGACATAAAAACTTCTTTTTTGTTGCTTTGACACATGAATGATAATTAGACATAAATATTATTGGCCCTTGCATTTCTCTAAAAGATTTTTAGATTTTGATCCACTGGCAGAGTAACAAAGTAAGGATCTTATTACAATTTAATTTTTGTTTCTCTATAAGTCGGTATCACTTTTTCACTATTCCCACTGGCTAAATGAATGCCAGATTGATTTTTGCCATTAGAATTATAAAATATTACAAGAATATATATTGAAATTATTATCTTTCTAAAACATATTCCAACTTTGCTACGTATTCCTAATTTCTGTTCTTCAGAATAGAAGATGCAGATGAAACTCCAAACACACTCAGCCAACTTATCTTTGACAAAAGAGACAAATATGTTCACTGGAAGAAAGCTTCTTTAATAAATGTGGCTATAAAAACTGGCTTTCCACATGCCGAACACTAAAATTACACCAATGTCTATTGCCATGCACTGAAGCCAAAATGGATCAAAGATCCAAAGATTAAAACAGAAACACTAAATCTACTGGAATACAAAGTAGGTAGAAATTTTGCAGACAGTAGTATAGGTAGAGACTTCATGAACAAACCCAGACTACATGGGAAATACTACAAAGAATCAACAAATGGGATCTCACCTTAATAGAAAGCTTTTGCACAACAAAACAAATCACCGACAGAGTGAAAAGACAACCCACAGAGTGGGAAAAATTAGTCACTTGTCCCTCTGACAAAGAATGTATCTCTAGAACATATAAAGAATTGAAAGCAATCAGGCCCCACAAACTCAAACTCCCAATCCAAAATGGACAGCTCTGATTAATACACACTTCTCAGATGAAGAAATACAAATGGCCAATGAATACAAGAAAAATGTTCAACATCATTGGTGGTTTGAGAAATGAAAATTAAAACAACACTGAGATTCCATTTCATCCCAGTAAGAATGGCGATTATCAAGACATCAACCAATAACAAATGCTGCAGGGGCTGTTGAGAGAAAAAGGAACCCTTCTCCATTGTTGGTGGAAATATAGACTGGCACAACCACTGTGAGAATCAGTGTGGAGATTTTTCAGAACACTAGGATTAGAGGTACCATTCAAACCAGGTATTTTCCTTCTGGGCATCTTCCTAGAAGAATTAAAAACATCATACCACAGAGATATACGTGCACCCATGTTTATAGCTGCAAAATTTGTAATAGCTAGATCTTGGAAACAATGCAAATGCCCATCAACCGAGGAATGGATAAAAAAGATGTGGTACTTTTGTGCAATGGAGTACTAATCAGCCATAAAGAAAGATAAACTGGAGACTTTTATAGGTAAATGGATGGAACTAGAGACCATACTCTTAAATGAAATTAATCAAACCCAATGTGTAAACGTTGCACTGTCTCACTAGTATGAAAAGCTGAATGAGTAATTAAGACCCAATATGTACAACAGATATTGTGAAATAGGAAGAAACAGTTCAAAATAATAGAGAAACTACAGTGGAGGAAAGGAAAAATAAACGATGGAAAAGGAAAAAAATATACACAAGATAGTTAAATAGTTGTACAGCTAGTTTCTTTAGTTCATCAAAAAGAAAGGTTTGTGCTAATATTGTGTGGACAATATTTCATGTCTATATCCTGCACTGAACAAGTACTATGACTATAATAATATGTAATATATTATTTTTAATCTATTATTTTGTTTTGAAAATATGTTTTATTTTTATTATTTTTTCTTGAAATAATAGAACAAATTTATGTTTCTAAATTATTATAATACATCTTTTGTTTCTTTCTGCTTTTTTCCTCAAAAGTAACTATTAGTTGATGGTGGGTTAGCCATGATCTATCATCTACCATTTTTATCTTCTATTTTTTGATTATTTACTAAATATTCAAGTATATTATTAAAGTTTGTTTTGTGTTCCACTGTGTCAAGTTTTTCACAATACACAATTTCCTTACATTATTGCTTAATTTATTTTTCTGTGTTGTTAAATCTTACAGAAGTATTTTTTAGTTCATTTTGCTCTCAGTTTATAGTGGCCTTATCTTTTATTCAGTATGATATTCTTTTTTTTTGCGACTGCCTGCTTGCAAGGCAGGCACTTATGCCGCTGAGCTAAATCCCCAGCCCCGATATTCTTTTTTATTAATACTGGCATTATTCCTTTGACTCTTACTGAGAACATAAAAGAAATGTTCTCATAACTCTACTTCATGGGGAAGGATTTTCTTGTAGTATATTAGAGGATATTTCTTGTCTTTCCTATTCTTATTGTTTAATCATGCTTAACAACTTAGATTATTTAAATACAAGATAACAAAAACTTGTTACTATAATATATACTGCTATTTTTTATTTTTCCCTTAATTAAAAAGATAAAAAGAAAAAAGTGAATAATTTTTAAAAAAGGGGGATTGAGATAAAAGAGGGCATAACAACAGAACAGCACAGGTTAAAACATAACCATTTAAGCAAATAGTGTTTCACCACAAGATATCTTGACATAAAAATAGTTACCATAGTTTCTCTTTCCTTGAAATCTTTGAGTATAACTTTGTATACTGTAGCACCAAACATATCAAGACACTATAAAACCATTCAAGAGAATGAAAGTATTACAGGGTATTTAGAACCAATTAACAGAAAATGAAAAATGGTTTCTGTATAATCTCCTTGTCTATAAAAGTTTTTACTTATGTTATCATATATAATAAAATCCAATAAGATAAAACCTTTTAAGACCAATGGAGACAGAAGAATACAAGTTTGATGGGACTTTAAAACAAGATGATACTAAATCAGCACTAGCTATTATGATGTCTTGTTTTCTCCAAAATAGCTGTTCCTACCATCCAACCTTCTCTGCCTCATTTCTGTTGAGCTCTTTTTCTGTCGTTTGTTGTCTCTTTTTCATTTTGCTTTCTGCTCCAGTCATTGTGGCCTCCCTGCCACTATTTCTGGAATCTTGGTATTTTCCTTTTTAGAATATCCTGTATTCTCTGTAAAATTGAATTGGTGGTTGCAAATTCCCCTAGTTCCTCTTTATCCTGGAAGCACCTTGTTTTTCCATCAATTTCTAGGGACAGTTGTGCAGGATATATCAATCTTGGCTGGAGGTTATTATCTTTCAAAGCTTGAATTATTTCCCCCCATGCTCTTTGTGATTTGATGGTTTGTGCCGAGAAGTCTGCTGTAATTCTGATAGGTGTTCCCTTGTGATCTGTTTCTTGTCTCTAATGGCTTTTAATATTCTGTTCTTATATTGGGTTTCTGGAATTTTGATTATTATATGCCTGGGTGTAGCTCTGTTTGAGTTGTAGGTGGCTGGGGTCCTGGATGCCTCGTACATCTGAGTATCTTTACCATTTGCTAAATTAGGGAAATTCTCTTGGATTATTTCTGTGAATAGCTTTTGTAGTCCATTTGTTTGTGTCCCTACTTCTTCTTTTATGTACTTAATTCTTAAGTTATAGATCCTCTTAGCATCTTCTAGCCTTTGTATTGTTGCTGTTTGCTTTTTTATTTTTAAGAAGTTTTTCATTTCATGCTCCCATATTACAAATCTGCCCTCCAGTTCAGATAATCTATCCTTAGTTTCTTTCAAGCTGTTATGCCCGTTTTTGATAGAGTTTTTAGTTTCCTGGTAATCTCTTTGAACCTGCTTCACGTATTCTATATTTTCTCTATTTTCTCCATCAAACAATTCTCCCTTTTTTCCTGTTCTTCCATTTCACCATCTGTTTTTTCTTGGGCAGTGCTTAGCATTTCTCTATCTATTCTACTTATATCTTACTTTAGGGTCCACCTCCAGGCGCTGAGACCTGATTTAGGCTAGCCTACTGGGTCTTAGTCAGCTGTGTCACGCAGGCCATACACTCCCCACCAAGCCCACTTGAGAGGGAAATATGTGACTGAAGTCACTGCAACAACCTGTTCCAGCTAGTCTGCCCCGTCCCAGTATGTCCTTTGCTGAAGCCTCCTGTGGAAGGGTCCCCGATCCGCTCCCTAACCACAGGTTGATGCAGGGCTCCTAGCCAGTCCCACTCTCAACTCCATTCACCGCTTCCCATTCTCAGAGCTTTCGCGCCTCTCTCCTTGCCGTGCCGAATGTGACATAGCAGTGGCTGCAGGAAATTCAAATCGCAGCTTCCAGTGGCGTGGGGTCCAGTTTCCGTGCTGAGACCTTATCTGTTCCTGTTATATCACCAGGATTGCGTTTCCAGTTGGTTTCTCTTAGTTTAGTTCGTTCCTGGGTCGGCAAAGTATATCTCCCCTTGCTTAGGATTTCTCGCCCGGCACCATTCCTGGATTTTAAGTGCAGTTTCTCAGAGAGCCTCCGAAGCTGCTGCCATCTATCCACCATGTTCTCCCGGAAGTCCAGTTGTTGATTCTTTAAAGTATTTCCCATGCAGTTCAGGTTTTGTTCATGAACTCTCTGTCTACCCCTATGTCTTGAAGATTTCTGTCTACTTTGTATTACAGTAGATTTAGTGTTTCTATTTTAATATTTAGATACTTGATCCATTTTGATTTTAGTTTAGTGCATGGTGATAGAAAATGGTCTAATGTTATTATTCAGCATGTGGAAGCCAGTTTTTCCAGCCGCATTTACTAACGAGGCTTTTGTCTAGTAAATATATTTGGCTCTTTTTTAAAAGATAAGGTGGCTGAGTGTGTTTTCATTTGTGTCTGTGTCTTCTAATCTGTTTCACTGATCTTCAGGTCTATTTTTTTGCTAGTACCATGCTGATTTTATCATAGAAGCCTTGTAGTATATGGACATCTATCTAAAACATAGAAAGAAGTGAAAAAATCAGGCTACAATGATATATGTGCACCTATGTCTATAGCAGCACAATTTGTAATAGTGAAATCCTGAAAATAATCCAAATCCCCATCAACTGAGGAATGGATAAAAATATATGGTATTTTTATGCAATGGAGTACTACTCAGCTATAAAGAAAGATAATCTCAAGACTTTTATAGGTAAATGGATACAACTCAAGACCATACTCATTAACTGAAGACAATACTCATAAGTGAAATAAGTCAGATTTGCAGCTATAAACATTGTATTATATCCCTAGTGTAAGAAACTAAGAGTAAATAAGATCTAAAATACACAACAGATATTTTGAAAGTGAAAGTAACTGCTCAAAAGCAAAGAACAACTGTTACAGGAGAAAGGAGAGAAAAAGGATGGGAAAATAATGAACACACACATACACACACAAACACACATGACAGCTAAGATAATTATACTGCTAATTTGTATTTGTTCATTGAAAAGAATGATTTGTGGTTATACTGTTTAATCACTTTTTCATGCCTATATCTTGTAATCTGAGAAACTACTTTGAAGAAAACTATGTAATATATTAACTATTGTTAATCTCTTATAAGCTTGCTTTCAAATTATGTATCATTATTTTCATTGTTTTTTTTCTTTAAAAATAACATTCTAGCCAGTGGATATGTTTATTTTATTTCTGAAATAAAAGGATGAGAAAAAGACATATAATAGCGTGTTTGACTGAATGGGTCTTAGGTCTCACTTCAAATACTCTCAAGTCCTTTTTATCTCAAGCTACCATCATGGATGTCTGCTTCACGTAAGCTGCCCTATCTTTATTTTCTTCCCTGAGAACTTTGATGCTCTCACAAACCTGGTATGGTGAGACACTACACCCCAAAGAACAACTTTTTATGAATACAAAAATGGATTTAGAGACAGTGGATAAATATTCCCTCCTTGGTGTTTGGCTGTACAACTCTGAGGCAAATGTTATAGGGCTCCTCAAAAGGTCATATAGAATAGAATTCTCATTCTCTATGGTGTGAACAACTCTAGAATCCATATCGATTCTTTCTCCTAGTGTCGCTTCTATGTCACTTATCAATAAAACTACCTGCTTTGAGCATTTCTTATAGGTTGTATTTTGCAGAAAGAATCTAGGCTTCTAATATTCATATCAAACATACAAAGCCATCTTTCAAAAGGAGTCACTATAACTGATATTTTTTTAGAATATCCAACTGTCATAGAAACAAGGAAAACATTCAAATTAACTCACAATATGATTTTATACAAGTTGTTCTAAAACTCAGGCTTTTTGTTTTCTGTTGTATATAAAATTGTGAAGCAGAAGAAATAAGAAACTAGCAAAAATGTGAAAACAAAAAATACACTGGCAAGAAGGTAATAGAGTATACAGCTCTCTTTATAAGAACCTATCAATTTTCTCCTGGCAGCAACCATATGTGAAAGACATTAATAGTCATATCAGGAATCAAATCCTAAAAAAGTTAAGTCACTTGAAAAGTTACTGAGATAATACATAACTACCATTCAGGTACAGTTTTTTTTTTTACTCAAAATGATTTCTATATGCTATGATATCTGGAAAGATTATTGCTCTAAAATTTTTCTATTAAAGAAATCATTCTAGCATCACGTACCGTGGTTCAGTATACTATTTTATGATGGCTTTGGTACCAGGGATTGAACTCATGACCTTGTGCTTACCAGGCAAGTGCTTGCACCACTGAGCTAACTCCTGGCCCCTACTTTATGATTTTAAAAACTTAATTCCTATCTTGAGAAAATTAACACACAAGAAAATATATAACAATCTTCTAGTTGAGACTGGACAATTTTTTCATAAAGAAGCCAGGATGACAACATGCAAATGCAAATGTTTTCTGATATGAATTGTCTCATTAACATCATCTACTATCTTCACTCTCATGTTTAAATTCTCATTTGCTGGAATGCAAAATTGTCCAAGGTAAACATATGACATTCCCCTCTAAATGTCTTCGCTATTATTTATGTTGTTACTCATTTCTAATACTTAGTAACTCACAATCTGTCAAATTGGAAAGAGAAGTGAATTGTTATACACTAATGATTTGTGTCATTAAGAATTTAAAATGTTAAAAATTAAAACAATTTTAAATGATTTAAAATTACTTAAGATCTGATTATTATATTATGATTTTAATAAAATTTAAAACATTTGCAATCATTTTATAGTAAAGACTTTATTTTCTTAGAATAACTAATTAAACTTATATTTAATATATATTGCACAGCAGAAATTCCACTGGACTCCTTTCATCATTTAGGTTCATTTCTTTCTATCACATGGTAGAATCTGAATTTTCTTCAAAAATAAAATGTCTTGTATTTTGTAATCTCTTACAGATTCTCTTTCCATGAACTATGTACAATTCCTTTGCTAAAATTTCAGTATTATGAATATGTTTCTGTTATGTATGAGTGCTATTTCTCCATATAAAAGATATAAACAAATGCAAAAATATACAATACAAACAGTGAAAAACTTTAGGCAAAGAAAAATTATGAATATAAATTGGAGTACAGGATTATGCTAAATATATAAAATGAATACTATAAGATGAATTTGCCAAATATTCGTACTTTAAATTTCTAACTGCCAAGGCATAAGGCAAACTACAGCACTTTTTGATATAAACAACAGAAAAGAGATTACTCCTGAGAGATTTTATAAAGAAACATCAGTAACATACACTGACCTCAATAAGAGCCTTGAAGCATATACAATGAAAAATCCATAGCACCATGCCAGTGTCTAATTCAGCAAATTCAATACTTCAGAATCAAGTCATTGTCATAGAAAATTCAATGCGAATGGAGCAGGCAGTGAGTGACTACTCTAAAGAAATGCAGGAGGAAAAGGATCTCTTCATGTTCTTTTGTTATTAAAAGGAACAGAGATAGCAATCATGAGTTTCATAAGAAACAGCAAAGTACCAAACTAAAAAATCCATTTCACAAAAGAGAATGTGCTTTGTTTTCAGATTGTGTTCAAACGTCCAAATAGATTAATATTTGAGGCCAAAGATTTCACCATTTCTAAAATTAAGATTAAATGAGATACAAATTGACTATCCTTTATTCTTCATGTAATTCATGGAGTAATTCCCAACACAAATTTAATTAATATGCATTACAAAGGTATGCTAATGCAAAAAGAAAACAATTGGAAGTGAAAGTGTTTTTGATTTTGGAATATTTACATATACATGAGACATCATAGGGACACAATGGATGTCTAAACACAAAATTCATTTCTGTTTCATGTGTACTTTATATATATAGCGTGAAAGTAATTTTATACTATAAATAGTTTTCTGCATGAAAAAACTTGTGAACATTGACAAAACAAGGGTGTCACTATTTCAGTTACCCATGTAGACAATCTGTAGTCATTTGTCATCACCACCATTACTGATTCTAAATTTATATGCTACCAATATGTAACAATTTTCTTACAACTATTCACACATAAGTATATAATAGTAAAAATGATGTACTATTGATATAGTGAAAAACATACTGTGTTTGGAGTAACTAAGCAGCACAGTTAAGCATCACTAAAATATTTATATCATCTGTTAACCAGAAGTAACAAAAAATAAGAGCAGAATTTCAGTTACCACTTATGATGCTATGCTTTATTAAACGGCTACTAGAAACTATACTGTTTTAGGTAAGAAATGTCAGAAAAAATTGAGGAACCAAGAAGTAGGTGTTCTAAGGGATGAGGAGTATTTTATTGGATAGTTTTTAAAATATTTTCTCTAGAGTCAGCTGCCTTATTAGTAGTTTTTGACCTAGAAAATTCTCTTTGATTTTAAGCTGTCATAATAGCTTGTATTTTAAATGCATACTGTTCTAGTCCTTCAATAAGCCCATTATACATTTCCACCATGTCACCTACAGTCATTTTTTTGTAGTATTAAAGCCGTTATTTTCATTGTCACTATCATCATAATCACTTTGTTTCAAAACTATTTTGGCTTTGTCAACATTGGTCAACAAATGAAATGGAGGCTCATTTTTCACATTCTGCAGTTTTTTTCTCTAGTTTTTAATTATTTCTGGGCATCATTTTCACATAGAATTTCAGCAATCTATTCATTCCCTTGTTAAAAAGTCATTTCTCAACAGTGTACTCTTCTATAACAGAGGTTTCACATGTACACTATTTTTCAATTTCTTCAACACCTTAACTTTCTGGGATACAGATTAACATCAGTGCTTCTTTTTATTTCAGTTTTACCCACAGAGATATGTGTGGCCCCTTTTGGCATTTTCAACACCATATTTTATACTTATACAACAGAGCAGAGAGTAAGCAAAATAACACAGTAAATAATGTAAGTTTTAGAGGCACCTTGACATATCTGGTATATATGAATAAAGCATTTATTATCCTTTGTGGGGTAGGGGGAACCTGAACATGCACAAAAAAAGAGATATCATAGCTAAGGAGTTCTGAGAGAGTCATTTTTTTCCTCTTTGGTGAAGCTGAATTAACTGTGTTGTGACCCTGAGTATTAACTCTGACCTATCACAAGTTCAGGCATGGAATTTTCCACTTGTGATATCGTGTTGGCATTCAGAAGGTTTCAGATTTTATACTTTAGATCTTAGATTTTTTATTAGTGATGTTCAACCTTTAATATGCTGTGTAACCTAAACTAAATACTTAGAATAGATAAACCCTAAATAAATGTAGTTTCTGTTAACCAGATCGAAAGGGGTTTGGTAGTAATTACTCTCCTTCCATGACTGCCAAGGAGAACAATACATTAACTGTACACTCTTGAGGTCATCCCAATAAACCATTGCTGTGTGAGGAGGGGAAGAGGATTATTCAGTATTACTTCTTTTCTTTTTTTCTTTGTTGTTGTTTTTGTTTTTGTTAGTATAGGTAAGATTTTTTAAAATGTCTCCATTTCCAAATATAAAATATTATAAGTATTCAAACATTTCCGATATATAAAACTAATAATCTGCAGGAACAAAACAGGTAAGAAATATGGATCTTTACCATCCAGTACCTGACAGATGCAAAGTGTCATAATTTCACATCAGAAATGAAGAAGCGGTTACAATAGAGCACCATTGACCAAAAAATGGATTTATAAGAAAGCAGCCAGTTGGCACTGACAAGAAATTAGATGCATTTGGACAGCATATAATGTACACATATCCCAGTTAAAGTAATTAAAAGGCTGTTTAATGGGAATAAGACCAGAGGAAAGCAAATTTGATTATCTTATGAAATATTTTATCCAAATGATGCTAGAAATGAACTGCTTATATTGTAGAGCAGAATAACTCCCTCTGACCTCATTTTATCACAGAAGGACTGTTAAAACTTGCATTTCAAATTCTTTTATATCAGTTGTTTATTTTATTACAGTTCAACCTCGGTACATATTATAATCTACAAATATTTTACATTTCTGTATTTGAAAAAATAAAATGTTTATAACTAATATGCTTGGATTCTTTTAATTTCCTAAAAATACACTTAACTGATATATTCAGATTATTTGTTATTTCTTACTTATTTACAACTTGTATATTTTTAATTACTATTTAAATAAATAAATATTTTGTAAAAGAGATGAAAATAAATCCATGTATACATACCACATGAAGTATTTTATTCTCTGTTTCAT